GCCGCCGGGCTTGTGATGGAGCATAAAGTCGTACTCCTGCATTTCGGAGAACCAGCGGGCTTGGCGACGATTGAGGCGGCGGGCTTCACGGAAGTACGTGAGATTCTGGTGATCTGACCAGATCTCGAACGTGTGGCGGGCGCCCAGGAGGTACTGGCGCCATTCCTCTAGCGCAAGCATGATGGCGAAAAGCTCCTTGTCGTAGATCTCGTAGTTGCGTTCGGCTTCGCTTAGTGACTTGGAGAAATAGGCCACGGGGTGCCATTTGCCGTCTGTGGCCTTCTGCGAGAGCACTGCACCCGTTGCAAAGTCCGAGGCGTTGGCCTCAACTCTGAACGGGGAGTCGTCGACTGGGATGACTAGCACGGGCTCGGATGTAACGCGTAGCTTAAGTTCCTCGAAGGCGAGCTGTTGTTCAACGCCTCATTCCCAAGGGACGTCTCCAGTAAGGCGATGGAGCGGGCGAGCGACATGGCTGAAGTCTTTGATGAAGCGACGGTAGAAGTTGCAGAATCCTAAAAACGACTGTAACTCCTTCTTGCGCGTTGGAACAGCCCATTTGGCGATGGCCTTGACCTTGGCAGGATCCATGTGAACGTGTCCCTCCTCAACGATCATGCCAAGGTACTCGATCTTGGTCTGCTCGAACTCGCACTTCTCGGGCTTGAGGTAAAGCTTGTTCTCCCGTAGTATGCGTAGGACCTCGCGTGTTACGCGACGATGTTCTTCGAGTGTCTTGGTGAAGATGAGAATGTCGTCAAGATAAACAACAACAACGCCTTCGTAAATGAGGTCACGGAATAGCTCGTTCATCATAGCTTGGAACGTGGCGGGCGAGTTAGTGAGGCCACAGAACATAACGGTTGGCTCGAAGAGTCCCCATATTGGTGGGGAATGCGGCCTTCCACTCGTCGCCCTCCTTGATGCGCACGTTGTTGTATCCCCAGTGAACGTCCAACTTGGTGAAGTAGCGGGTGCCTTTGAGCTTGTCGAGAAGCTCTTGAATGAGCGGTAACGGGTAGCGATTCTTCACGGTCATCTCGTTGAGTTTACGGTAGTCCTGTACGGGGCGCAGAGAGCCATCTTTCTTTTCGATGAAGAAGAAGGGCGAGGCCATGGGCGATTTGGACGGGCGGATGGGGCCGGATTTGAGGTTCTCTTCAATGAACTTGCGCAGTTCGTCTTGTTCTGCGAGCGTGAGGGGGTAGACCTTGCAGTCTACCGGGCGTGCGCCTTGGATAAGCTCGATAACATGACTCCACTTGGTCTGTGGTGGGAGCTTGTCAAAGTCCTCCTTATCGAAGAGGTTGCAGAAGTCGTGGTAGAGCGAGGGTACACGCTCTTGGAAGGTTTGTTCCTTTTTGAGCTTAGCCTCTTCCTGTGCGATAGCAGACGAGTGTGTCGAAGTGGCGCGTAAACGCTCAGCGCCTGCGTGTAGAAAGCCTTCCCAATCGAGCACAAGTAGTCATTCCCCCTCCTGAAGCTCCGGTAGGTCAATGACATCCTCAGCCTCCTCCTCTTGGTGCATGTGGTCCTGTAGCTTGGCACAGAGTTCCGGGCAACGATCAAACAACACAGTGGAGGTTTCCCAGTCGGTGCTAGGGTTGTGGAAGTGTAGCCATTCATGTCCGATGAACAGCGGCGAGGAGCCTAGCTTGGCCACGGCAAGAGCGATCTGCTCCCGATGGTCTCCGATGGTCATGGCGATGTCGACAAACTCTGTGATGCTGCCATTGGCGTTGGCGCTGCCATCCGCATTGTAGACTGGAATAGGCAAGGCTGTTTTGCGTGTGCAAATGCTGTTTTGTTGAACAAAGTCCTCATCGATACAGGAACCAGTACAGCCACTGTCGAGTAATGCGTTCACCGGGATCTGACGACGTGGAAACTCCATGGTGTGGAGAACGGCGGGCAAGGTAGTCTGTTGGCGTTGACCGGAGGAACGAACATAATGCATGGGCGAACGCAGTTCGCAGAGTGCTTGCACAACGGTGTCGTTGTCCATACCATTGAGTGTGGCTAGCATCTCATGTGTTGCCTCACGGTGATGCCGGTTGTGCATCCAGTTGCGTAGGATGGCGATTGCAGATTCTGGCTTATCCTCTTTCAGACGGCGAGCAGCCCATAAAGCGGAGCGTGGTGCGGCGTAGCGATTGCCTCCCCTCCGAGTATGAGGGAGGTCTTGATCCGTTGACTCGGACACGGGTTTGGGTTCACACAGGATAAATTCGGCAATGTCATCATCATTATTATTATGTACGGGTGTGAATAAAGCGGCGGCCGGAGTAACGTCTGGCTCTGATATAGGAGGAGCAGGGGTAACGCCCTACGATCTGAGTAACGGAGACGAGGTAGATGCGCGCGAGATGAATGAGTCGAATAGTCCGTGGAACCGAGATGGGGCTCGAGGTGCCGTGTTCACGACGAGCCGCTGGCAAAACCCTGCTGCGACGCCTGGGCCGGAGGAGTAACCGGTGCTCCTACCCTGCTCTGCAGCGAGCGTGCTAACTCCGCTTGATCAGCCGGAGATAGCGAGGCGGCGAAGTCGTCCACGTTGGCAAAGGTCGTGGCACGTGCCCGATAGCCAGCGGGGAAGGGGATCATGCGATCCCGGCCGTACTTCTGCCGAATAGTCTCCGTCGGCGTAGTACAGTTGCGCGCCAGGTGGTTCTCACCGCAGCGGTAGCACGCCATTGCTGCATTGGCCGTGTCGATGTCCATCGGGACCACGCCCGTGTTGGCCGCTGGAGCCGGTGCGCGCGACTGCTGGGCTGGAGTGCCCCAAGGGTGCCAGTTGCCGTTGCGCGGCTGCCCCTGGTTGGCGTTGCGCAATGGCTGCTGTTGCTGCCAAGCACCCGTGGACCGGCTGGTGTTGTTGTTCGTGCCAGTCAACTGGTTGCGCGAGGACGAGTTGCCTGTGGTGGACTGCGACGAGGGCCGGTCTGGATGATCTTCGCGCCATTGCCTGTCGAACAGCACGGCGTCCTCATACCAGCCCTGTAGCGTGTCCGGGCGATGCTTGCCCTGGCCGTTGACCTTGTCGCGGATGGCAGGTTTCAAGCTCCTTCAGTAGAGCTCGATGAGCGCGGTGTCGTTGAAGCCCGTATGGCCGGCCCAGTCCTTGAACTGACGCGTGTGCACCTCCGCAGACTGCGCGCCTTGTTGCATGGACTGGATCTTGGCGATGGCTGTCTTCTGGATGTCGACGTCCTCGAACTGTTGGAGGAAGGCCTGCGAGAACGTATCGAGATCGACGAGCGGGCCGGTGTAAGCCGGTACCGGGTGTCCCTGCTGCTGGGCTTGAAGCGCCATCCGCCGATACTCCGCATATTCGGCCATGATCTGCTCGTACCACATGGCGACAGATTGGTCAAGAAGCGTGGAGACCAGGACGATCTTGTTGTGGTCGGTGAGCGGGTTACCGGCGGCTTCCTCTTCTTCGGCAACGAGGTAGTTCCGCATGTTCCAGACGAAGTCCCGTGGCGTGGGGTTATAGACGCCCTTGTCGTTGGAGACACCGGAGAACGTGCGTGGAGCGTGGACGCGGATGTGCGAGCATTGTGGCCCTGGCGCTTGCTGGACAACAATTGGCTGCGGCGGGGCGTTGAGCTGGGATTGTTGTCTGACGACCGTCTGCTGCAGGTCGCGGATCTGCTGGTCCTTGGCAACGTCGACCGCATTGGTGCGGGCGTCAGCGGACAAGGGCGTTGGGGCACCCTAGCGCTGGTACGCATTCACCAGGTGACCACTCCGGTATCCGGGTTGGTCTCCTTCCAGATCAGGAGGTCGTTGTCCAGGGTGCGTGGGAGACGGTAATCGTCCACATCGTCTGCGTCGATATGGAAGCCACCCTGTGGAAGGTCCGTGGGGTAATTGGCGGCATCAACGAAAGGCATGGTTTAAAATTCAGGCGGGAAATCTTCGGGATGCATAGTGGGTGTGGGCGAAGCGGCGGGCTCAAAGTTGAAGGTGATGGCCTTCGGAGTGCGGAGAGGCGAGGGCGGCGGCGATGGTAAGCGATGTGAGCCGATGACGACCGATAACTGCAATGGGTCCCCGATAACGGCCGGTACGGGTCCGTCACAAGCAAAGCGTAAGTGTTGGAAGGCGGGTTTGTACATGTAGTGAAGAGTGTCCAGGCAATCCTCACGGTAGATGATGTCCAAGTTGGTGAGGCGGCTGTACTCTATCAAGAGCCTGCCAGAACTACGTTCGATGTAGTTGGGGAGAACGGCGACAAGCGTGAGAGCAAGTTGAGAACCTTGATCTAATGTCAGCAACGGCTAGGCAACCACTTACTAACGAAGACAAGGGTGAGCGAGTTAACCAAGATAAGCGGCTAGGTAGCCGGTGTATAGACTAGATCAAGGTTAAAGGTAAGTTACAAGCCAGAGCGCAGTCTTATATAGGTAAGGCGAGACAAACAGAGGTAAAAAAAAGGGCAGGAACTAGATGAGTCGTTTGTGAGCCACGGGGATTACCGAGTCACGTGAGAGTCCGGAAAAGGAAAAGAAAAGGAAAAGAATAATGGATAATCTGGTGTCCGTAACACCGATGGATGAAAAGATGGCGGTGGCGAAGAGGGCGGGATAGCCGAGTCCCAATCATCAAGCAACTGAGTCTGAGTGCACGTCTGTCTGGGCATCTATATGATAATGAGCACCGCTGTCATGAATATGAGAAGGGGATATTTGCACTGTTGGGGTATTATCGACCAGATTATTGGTGCGGTAGTGCTTGGCCGGTTGGGCATCCTGCGGTATTGAGTCCTACAAATGTGTGCCAATGATCAGAAACGACATTTCTATTTAACAAAAATCATACACACTTCTTCTTTGCCGCTCTCCTCATTTTTATCTGATGATTCAGGCAATGTTGGGGCCTGAGCACAGAGTTAAAGTTGTGTATACAAACAGAGGAACCAGACTTACACGGGTACTAGACAGACCACCCTTATGCAATGGGTTTCGGAGAGTGTGATTTGGTTCTGAAACTAACGCCGGTGTAGCTTTCCCACCTGCCACCTTTGCCTCTGCATCGTTCACAGACTTGGACATGCCACTTTTGGTAAAGTTGATGTATACTTGGTCATTCAGCATCTCAAGGCAGGCAAGATACTCGAGTCTGTGTTGTATTTCACGCCGGCCGGTGTTGGTATGTGGATTGTAGCAGGTGAGCGGGTGACAATGTAGCGTCCAATCTGGCTGTTTGATGGCCTGATACTGCAGAAGAGACAGGAGGTTGTCGATGTTGAAGCTTTCAAAACCAGCCGCGACAGCCAGGTTATAAGTGCACATCGCAATCTCAAGTCCGAGGCGGTCTATGCACTCGACTTGGTTGCCCATGAAAGGCCGTCCATGTTCAGCGTAGGTGCGCAGGGACATCTCGGGTGCGTGTCCAGGAAGGCGGTTGCTGAAGGCGACTGGTTCAGTAACTGCAATGCCACCTTCACAAGTAGTGGCAATCTTCTGAGCGTAGAATACGCAGCCTTGGCGAACAGCGCGCAACGCAACAGGGACACCGTCATCGATGGTGGCCTCGAGCTCAGCAATGTAGTCAATGACCGATGCGGGTGCTGTTCCTCCATGAGGATCGACCCCCTTGAACATGATGAAGATGACGATCATGCCAAGTTCTTCTATGTATACGCCTAAGAAGGAACCGCCCAGGATGTGAGTCTGTAGTGGTGTATTGAGTAAAGCTAATCCAATATAGACTATCAAACCTACCTTTAGACGGCTGGAATGTCAGGGCGAAGAGCGTAAAGCTAGGCCCATCATCTCCCTTATCCACGTGTATGTTGCCTTGTTTGTTGCGGATGGATTTGGCCAAACTCTTCGTATTGAGTGTTGTAGAGACGTTCAGTTGTATGGTCGTGTTTGAGAAGCCAAAGCCGCCAATGCTGAAAATGTTCTGCAAAGCGTAGCGTAGTCCAGAGCAGCCAGCTCGGCTTTCGAAAGAATCTTGGGCAATATAAACTGCCAAATATGGAAGAGGCAGCACGCGATCGTCCACTGTGCAGGACGAGTGGGCTCCAGACTATTCTTCAGCGCAGGATGAATGATGCCTGCCCTGTTTACCTCGAGACGGTTTGAGGCAAGATTGTATGAACCGTCCAAGGACCCTTCAAAAGCTGCGGACTGCGAGTGATCATTGCAAAAGAGCTCGAAGGATGTGATTGGCCCAAACTCAGGCAAATTGATGGCGGGACTTGCTTCCTGCCCGTACCAGAGCACTTGATAGAAGTGTTTGAGCACGGGCTCAATGGTTGGAAAGTCGTTGTAGCGCAACATTGTCTCGGGCATCTCAAGGGCAAAGATTGTCATACACTTTGTGTGATCCCCATCCAAGTCTAGGGCGAAGGGTGTTGAAAGCGCAGCCTAAGAACGAAGCGCAACACTCTGCAGCACACAGAGAATAAGCAA